CCCCCCCCCCCAAACCCTTGCAGGGTAACCATAAGCCTGAAGCCTGATCTCTGTGTCTGTGAGTCTGCTAGAGAATGTAATTAATTAATTTAAAACAGATATATACAATGAAATTTCAAGACTGTGTACCATCCTTTAATGTTCACAGATGGTATAAAACCCTATGAAGCCATGTGGAGGAGCCAAAGAATACTGATAATTTATTGCTTCAAAGCTATAATGGAAGATCATTTTTAAGTGGTTCAAATATACATTCTATATTTTATATTCTGAAAGAGTTGCCTGTAGAAAGGGCTTCCAGAATCTAGTGGAAAGAAAGTTTCCTGGTGTAAGTATATAAACAACTCATCTTCTTTCTGATAATATAATACTTAAACTTCATACTTCAAAACACTTTGGTTTTGCTGTTAACTGAAAATCTTACTGAAGAGTATTTACAGTGGTATATTCCCTGAAAACTAATAGTTCTGAGCATGATGTGTTGATTTAACTAGTGTGTCTCAATATAGAGGAATTTCAAAATCTTTCAGATAAAAGGAGCCATAGGATTTCAGAGCTGGAGGGGACCAGTGGAGAACAAAATGGACATGACCTATATTTACATGGCTCATTTATACCAGAGCCAAACAAGGACCCTAGTTACCTTACATACTACTTTTATTTTTTTAAGATCCCTCTTGTAATGTCACATAAGTACTGTACACATAGAGTTAGGTGACAAAGTAGAATAACTTTCGTTGGCCACTTGTAAAAGATAAGTACCTTAACATTCTTTCAAAAGTGGAATGCCAGCAAATGCCTTTAGAGAAAGCTCAGAATCAAATTTTCTTCCAGTAGAAACAACCTGGGCCTACTACCATTCCAGAAGATTGTACACATATTGACCTGCATACATATAAACATAAACATAAACATAAAAGTTTTATTACATTTAGAAGGGACCTCAAGAATTTATCTGCTCATTTCCTTGTCACCCGGTAGGTAAGGTCTCATTATCCCTATTTCATAGATGGAAAAATTAAATCTCAGAAAGACTAACTGAGTTGCCCAGTAAGTAGTGGGGAGGGAGGGACAGGTCTCCTATCCCAGCAAAATGCTACACGATGCATATCTCATTGGTTAAAAAAAAATAGTTTCTTTAAAATTTATTTTCTATTTGTTTCTCTTAAGTTTGAGGGGCCCATAATTTTACACAAAATAGACTCTTCCATGATTGTGTAAAATTAAATTAGCAAGTAATTGATTTTTGGATAGTCAAGTTGTCAGGTCTCCTTGAAAGTGAATCTTGAAAGTCAGCTTGGCCATTGGCATTTGGTTGCCCAGTAAACAGTCATTGTTCTGGTTTAAAAAAATAAATAAAACCCCTCATTTTGCTTATTTTGGCCAATGAACATGTTGCTTCAGTGAACATGGCAAAAACCAGGCACAGAGCACTACGTATATGAGAAATAAGATAAATTAGAGAATTCAAATATTAAAAGTGCAAAGTCATGCAGAGAAAAGTCAGGCAAGTCTCCCTTTTTGGAGTTCCAGATAATGAATATACAAACATAGGTTACAGTCTTGTTTTCCCAAATGAATTGTGAGTGCAGAGGTGCAAGTTGATAATGAAAAAGCACAGATGATGTCTCTGTAGTGGAGCACAGTGTGGAAGCTTTATATGTCATAGCTATAAAAATACTCCCAGTACAGAGGTGCTATAAATAACATTTATGATACTAAGAATGATACAATAATGCCTTATCTTTCCCTGGTTATGGCAGGATGACTCAAAGCCTTCTTCAGTGGGCTTCTCCCTTACATGTCACCAGTTTAGAAAGGGCTTTTTATCCTGGTTTCCAAAAAGTCAGATATGTAAGCTTGGAGGAAAAAGTAATGAAAAGCTTCTGCACATAGAGATAGAAAAAAAAGAAAACCAGAAATTAGAGACAGGGAAAATTGTGATACAAGACACCAAATACAAAGAGGAAGGGAGAAGGTAACATTTATTAGCACTTATTTTATGAAAGGGACTGTGCTGTGCACTTTGCTTATATTACCATATTTAATCCTCACATCTCTGAGATAGCTGCTATGTGCACACAACAAAATGGCACTCAAAAATATTAGTTTTTGCACAACTACTAAATAACAGAACCAAGATTCAACTGCTGATATGACTCCAAATTCCATATTGTAATAAGACCAATATAGGCATTACCAGACCATCAATGAAATTTCAAAAAGAGACATGGGCACAATTATCAGACAAACTGATTTGGGAAGTAGCATTTTGGATGGACTTACGTAAACACATATTACAAGAGAGAGTAAAAGGTAAAGAAATTACATTGAAACTCCATCATAAGAATAAAGAGTGTGTTAGGCAACCTGAGTTGCAAAAGGTGCTATATAATCAAGGTTTTAATTCAATACCTCCTGATGTGCTTTCCTCATTAGCCTCATCCACCTGGTTTCCAAGGAAGCTATAGTGACCTTGCAAATCATCACTCATACAGAGGAGACTGGGTGCTGAAATATCTTTCCAGTCCTGACACGAAGGAATACGGACGTGTCTGACATCTTCGCTTCCAGGAACAAAGCCAAATATTTTCCTTAAGCGCTGCATGATGAGGAGGCGTGAGTGCTGCTCTGCAGCTTGTTCGAAGAGCTCCCTCTCATTGCGGAGGTGGTTGGTCCAGTAGCAGTGCTGCAGAGAGGTGAGGGGAGAGCAGCACCTCACCAAACAGCAGGATACCAGGGTAATGATGGTTGCCAAGGTGATCAAAATCCAGCCCAGCATCTTCATGCAATTATTTAAAAGGAAAAGAGAAAACATCAATACATCGAACATTCAAGAAACAGCCATGGTAGGAGGGATTCCTACAAAGCAGAACCAAACTGTGGATAAGATACCTGTTTTTGTAGTTTTTGACATACTAACAAGGTGCTGATCATTTGATATGAATATGGTTGTGATGGAGGTAGAGGCCCAACCATTTCAGCTTGGTTTTTGGATTACAAAGGATTTCAATCAATTGACTTGCAGTGGATTCTAAGTATTGTCCTTGAAGTAGCAGATGCTATAACCCACCCATTACGCTTGCATAAAGGTACATAAAGTATGTTCTTTGCTTTTAGCTCAACCTTACTTTTCAACCATCAGGTATAGGCCCATTGATTCTCTGGGGGCTTAATAAGTATTTGATAATGATAGTGATGAAGATGATGATATGATAGATAATAATGGTAGCCTCCTAAGGCATCTTCAATGATGTGCCAAAAATATTCATCAATATTTCTTCCTGAGTTGCTGTTTCCTTTTATTTTTTTATGACCAAAGAGGGAAGTCAGTGAGCAGACCCTGATGTCCCTAAATGTATAACGCCTTACTGTTTCCCTTTTCATTTTCCTCTCCCTTCAAAGAGTCATTTGCTAACTAGTTTTATGACTTGTCTTTGAAATATACTTTGAAAGAAAAATGAACTAGATTTTATTTGCAACTATTTGATTTCCACCATTAAAGACTGATGTGAATGGCTGTTTTCTACTCTTGCAATCCTTTTTTTTCTTTATAATTCTTCTTTTCCTTTTCAGTTATCAGTGGTTGTTACGTCAAGTGAGAGACACAAGTTTGACACACTTAGGGAAGCCAGCAGTAGGCAGCCACAGTCTGGGAGGTGAAGGTCTCTTCCGCATTTGTTATTTACCAACAGGTCTGAAATTACCAGTGTGTGCACACCAGGATGGCTGCACTCTGGGGAGGCTAAAACCTACAAAGGGATACTCATCACAATTAAACTTAATGGAGGCTAGCATGGTGGAGGAAAGGCCATCTCTGATGCCCATTAATTCATCAACTATCATTTACTGAGCCCCAGACTGACCTCCACCATGTGCTGTGCATGGTGCTTGGTTGTGGGGACTCAGATGTGAATAAATTAAGGTACATTCTTTAATAAATTAAGGTTCATTCTTTGTACAGTCTCTAAGCCTAAAGAGACAGACAAAAGAGCAAGACAAGAAATAGGGTAAAATGTAATAACTTTTGATATGTGTAAACACGGGCTGAGGGAGCACAATGGAAGAGAAATAAACTTGTTTAAAGGAGACGAGTATCAGAGAATACTTCTCAGAGGAGGTGATGCTCAGACTTAAATTATTAAAGAGGAGTGCAACAGGTGCAAGATGTTGAGGAGAGTTCCAATAAGGTCATAAAGATATTTTAGAATGAGGTATGGGTAGAAAAGGGGTTTGAATTTGATCCTGTGGTCAACCCAGAATAGTTCAACCAAAAGACAGTGTGTATTTCTCAAATGAGACAGGTGTTCAAGGTAATTGCAGGAGGCTGCCTAGTGAAAGGAAACAACATGATCTTCGACTATCTCAACTGGCCGTTTTTTAGCTCTATGCACTTATAAAAGTTACATAAACTCTTTGATCTTTGCTTTCCTCATCTGTAAAATTAGACCTGTGTTTTAAGATTATGAGGATTGGAGTTAAGATATGAAATACATAGCATGTGATAAGCATCTCGATAAATATTAGTTTTGTCACTAAATCAAAAAATCCACTGGCTGAGGACACTCAGAACTGTAAAACCATCTTTTCACAGAAGTCTGTGTCTCATTAGACAAGACATTTTATTTTAACCGTAAGAAATGTTACCATTGTTGTATTACATCTTAGTTTTTCTTGAGCAAGAACATTTTTTAAAGTTAAAATTTCTCCACTTATTATTTGACTTTTCACCTATATCCGCATAGCTCCTCTGTCTGAGCTTCAGGGCTAGTATAAAAAGGTTGAGACAAAGCCTATCTTAAAGGGACTTCTAATTTTGCTTAAACTGGGCTATATGCAACACTGCAGTATTCTGTGTGTTGATAGTAATTCTTTTCAACTAATATCATTAGCACTTCTAAATATTAATAACTGGAAGTGATGGGTCAAAAATGCCTTTGCAATAAGTAGTTTAAAAATAATATTTTTTACAGTATTGCAGTTGTTTGAAAATTTGTTTTTTTCCCTAAGTCCCTTGGAGAAACTGATGAAAGCCAATGCCTCTTTCTCTGCTGAAGTGCACTTTTACACTTTTTATATTTAACTCATGAGTGCATTAGGTTCAGGCTTTCCCCTTACCTCCCTCATCCCACTCTTCACACAAACATGCCTAAGGACACTAAATTTAAAACTATCATTGGAGGTTTTTGAAAAATTATATTTAAGCTTCCTGTAATTTTAGATGATATTTTATTTATAAGAATTCATATTTAAGAATATATATGTAGGCCCGGCTGGTGTGGCTCAGCGGTTGAGCATTGACCTATGATCCAGGAGGTCGAGGTTTGATTCCCGGTCAGAACACATACTTGGGTTGCGGGCGGGATCGATCCCCAGTCAGGGGCATGCAGGAGGCAGCCGATCAATGACTCTCTCATTAATGTTTCTATCTCTCTCTCCCTCTCTCTTCCTCTCTCTCTAAAATCAATAAAGACATTAAAAAATATATATATATGTAGCAAGATGAAATTTAGTCACATGGTAATAATTTTAATAATATCTAAAATTCATTGTTTTTGTAGATATAGATTCTGGACACAGTACTGAGCACTTCAGATATATTAGCTGATTTATTCCTCACACCAACCCTATGTGGTAGATCCCATTAATATCCCCATTTTACATCTGAGAAAAGTGAAGCATGGATAAGTTACATAACTTGCTTAAGATTTTGCAGGTTAACAAACAGCAAAGCTAGACATAAACCCAGGTCTGTGATTCCAAAGCCCAATATCCTAACTGTACTTAAGTAGATGCTCAGTAGAAATCACTTTGATGAATGGCATCTAGTTTGTGTTCTATAATCAGACAATATAAGAAGCAGCAGGAATGTGAAATGTTTCCAGTGACTGTAGTTAATATAGGAGAAGATAACAGAAAAAAGAAACGAAAATCAAGAACTTACTTGTGACTGGTATCTGTGCAGAAGAGCTACTTCATCTCTTACCAGGAGCATGTCAGAAGGAGCTGATTTGCAACATGGAAACCCAGCTAAGATCTCTTCCCGTTTGCTGGCACTGATGTTGTCAAACACTGGGTAGTGGTCCACAGACACAAACTCGCTGGCTGCACATTCATAGTAGGTGCCTGTCATCAGGGTCGCCGCCAGCCACGCCAGCGGAGCAACGAGGGCCCTCCCAGTGATGCTGAAGAACCTAAGGCAAGCCAGCTTGCGCTCCAGGAGGCCGATTCTCCGGTGTGGAGGGACACAGCTGCAGCAGTACTCACTGGAAATTGTCCACATTTGGCTCCTCAGAGCATAGCCAGCAACCAGAAGGATCAAGACAGGAATGACTAGGAAAGCGGAACCGTAATAGAAATTTTTCCCAACCTGACAGGGACATCTGAATGTGAAAGAGGAGAACAGTTGTTGCCCACCAATAGTCGAAGCAGCAATTAAAGAATTGATCAATGTTCCACTCCTCTGCAGAGAAGACACAATGCTGTTCAGAGTTGGGCCCATCACTGGGAAGCTCTGCCCCAAATCAGCTTGAAGCCCTTTCTGATCATTAGACTTCTCCAGCTATAACCATTTTATGGGATCTTACTGGTTTAACTGGTTGTGTCAGGTGACCCAACATCCTTACATGTTGAAAGGATTCTAGCATCTTTCCTTGTGCACCTTGAGAGTCCTGACCTAATAAATGCAGTTCAGATTACAGCTGGGAAGAAATTGAAAGAGGGGTTCATCTGGTATGAGTGACGGGAACGCTTCAGTGTATCTTGCCGCCAGAGAGAGGGTGGCTTGCTTGCAAAGCAAACTGCTGCCATCTTTCCATGTGCTGCTTTATGTGACACAAAACGCTTAGCACCAGCAAATAGAGCGTTGGAAGCAAAACAGAGAACAGAATGTTCTTACCTTTGGACTATTCCAGGATTTGGTTACCATAAATTTATGGCATAAAGAATAATGGAAATTATCAAAAACTAAAGTGATCCAAAATTTCTGTCCTGAGTGTCCATAACCCAAGAGTTCTGCCAGGAGATTCCAAAAGCTTTCCCAAAAGGAGAAGAACAAGGCCTGGGTAGCCCTAAAGCCAAATCACAACAAAAGCAATCCAACTTTGCTTAAAAATCTATTTGGATGGACAGAATCTAATATAATAATGTGTTGCTTTATAAATTTAGTTGCAAATTTGTTTATATGATATCTTTGCCTTTCTATGAAAATGTGATATTTGGGTTATATACCTATAAAGGGTTATACACCTATAATAGGGTATATACCTGTAAAGAAGAAATATAATGATCAAATATGTAAGGTGTTTTCTATATTTGCTTAATCAGCAAATATTTTTTGTATATTTTCTATATAAAAGGCACTGGACTAGGCTTGGTTGGGCTTATAAAAAGTATATCATATAGCCCGGCCGGCCGTGGCTCAGCGGTTGAGCATCGACCTGGGATCCAGGCGATCGGGGTTCGATTCCCGGTCAGGGCACATACCTGTGTTGCGGGCTCGATCAATGACTCTTTCATCATTGATGTTTCTGTCTCTCCTTCTCCTTTCCTCTCTCTGAAATCAATAAAGATATATTTTAAAAACAAAAAATTAAAAAAAAAAAGTATATCATATAAATTTCTGTTTTCAAAGAAACTCTCAGCTGGACATGGTTAAATACATAATCAGTGAATTGAAACATAATAATGAGGAATTCACCCAAAATGCAATAAACAAAGAAATAAAATATTTTAAAAACCAATTAAAGGAGATAGAAGGCAAATTAAGCAACTCTGTGATCTGTTTGATCAGAGTTCCAGGAAAAAGAAATGAAGAGGCAGGGAAGCAATATTTGAAGAGAAATAGAATTTTGCAGAATCAAGGAAAGTTCTTGCATTAGAACAGTATTAGATGTTATGAATAGTGTAAAGATAAAGCCACATATAGACACATCATAGTAAAACTTCAGTGTGAAAAATAGAGATTCTTTAAAGCTACCAGAAAGAAGAGATACATAACCTAGTAAAGAATGACGATAGGCTAGCAGGAGACTTCTCATCAGTAACAATAGAGGCCAGAGTAACTTCGTACCAGCTAAACTATCATTCAAGACAGAGCAAAATAAAGATACATAAGACTAAGGGAATTTACCACCCGCAGAACCTCATTAAGAGGATCGTTAAAGCATATTTTTAGCAAGGAAAAAAACTCTGAGGAAAGACATGGGGTAAAAAGTGATGAGTACAAATATATTCTTAAGATGTTTCTTAAATTATAAGCTGTAGAAATAACTACTCTTTAAAAGATTTAACTAAGGCAATACATAGTTATAATAAGATATCACTACTAAAATGACTAAAATAAAAAGACTGGCCATACCAAATGTTGGTGAGGATTGCAGAGTAGCTGGAACCCTCATACAGTGATGGTGGGAATGTAAAATGGAACAACCACTTTGGAAAACTGTCTGTTTCTTTAAAAGTGAACTCTACATCCACTATGCAACACATTCATTTATCTCCTAGATATTTGCTCAAGAGAATGAAAGCATAGGTCCACATGAAAACTTGTACATGAATGTCCATAGCAGTTTTATTTATAATAGCTGCTATTATAATAACACCATAACAAGAATGAATTCAAAATAATCTCCTAAGTCAAAGAATTCAACCAAAGGAATACACAATGTGTGACTATATAAATTCTAAAAAGTGTAAATTAATCTATACTGACAGAAAATAGACCAGCACTTGCCTTGGTAAAGGGGGAGGAGAAATGAGAAGAGAGAGATTACCAAGGTGCATGAGAAAATTTCCGGGCACTGTATCAATTTGTACCAGCAGGATTTTAATTTATAGAGATGACTGAATGATGATACAGAGAGGCCAATGCCACTGAAAGAAGAATTTATTACTTACATTTACCAGGAGAAAGGGGCGCATGCCAAGCCACCCAGGGCCACATGGAGAAACACCAGGTTTGGTCAGGAGGCAGGAAGCCTAAGCCAGAGCTTTTCCTGATGCTTCCATGGAAAAGGCAAGACAAGGCAGAGAAACCAGCTGAGGGATGGCTAGTTTAAATAATTCCGGAGGGCTTTGGTGCATAAGGGGCTGTCGCTCCTTATCTGGTCCCGGACCCGGGTTGATTTAGAGTAGGGGAAATATTGGCTTGTTGTATGGGAGATGAGAAGGGGAGTGGCCCAGTTCACCATTTACTTGGGTTGATTGACACTGCAGAATGAGACTGAAGAATGCATCTTATTTTCAACCCCACGTCCAAATTCAGGCCTAGGACACTGAAAGAACTCTTAATAAAAGAGGAAAAACTTCTCTTCTGCATTATTTTGCAATGACTCTTGTTTCTAGTTTGCTGCCGGGACAGGCATTATAGATCATCTACATTTTTGAAGCAATCTCCGGAGGTTCTTCTATTTGCGTGAAGGGTGGTTTTACATAAAAAGAAGGCTCAGGCCCCAGGCTCACTTAGATCACAAGAGCTCTGAAGACATTGAAAGGCACTGAAAACCAGCAAACCACTGTCCCAGAGCTAGTGCCTACCGCTGAGCTCGTGCGGACTGTGCTTTGGTACAGCCGTCCTGGCAGGGACTCCTTCCTTAAGCCCTGTGGTCCTGGCTGCAGGGCTTGGGGGAAGAGGGGACCGTCGCCAGTCTGAAGGAAGAGCTGGCTTTCTCTGATGTGCCCACAATGTCCTGAATTCTCACCATACCACCCTGATGTCACCATACCACAGCCTTTAGAGTTTCGTAAAATTGATTCCTGCACCATCTCTCCCCTCCCACCAAATACACAGAAATTGTCTGTGTTTTTTCAGGGATCTCTCATACAGAACCCAGAATTGTCCCAAACTGGGCCCAGCAACATGCTGTGACCACACCTTAGCAGCTTTTGTGAATCTATCCCTAAAATATTTTTTGTAACGTAATTACAGTGTGTGTAGTAAAAAAAAAAAATTTTTATTTGGAGTCAGCAAATTTAGTCCAAATCCCTCTTTGTGGCCTACTATCGAGCTAACATTGAAAAAATTTCTTTACCTCTCTGACTTTTAGATTCGTATCCTATAATAACATGGTAATGATTACAGTACTGACTTCTTCACAGACTATAGTTGCATTAAAGTGAGATAAAGAAAATGAAAATCATGCTGTGAACTGTAAAGTTTATAAAAATATAAGGTGCTATTAAACTGCTACTGAAAAGCTCCCTCCCACACCCTACAACCCAGCAAAACTGATTTTCCTGAGAATGGGGTCATAGAACATAGGCATCAATGGAAATACCTTACGTATTGTAGAATCCCATTCAATATATTATACTTCAAGAATAATCTTTAGTAATTACTGTTTATATAGTGCATTATAATGTGCTTTATAGTGTACATTATCTCTTTGATACTCACAATTATTCTGTGAGGTGGGCATTATTATTGCCATTCACAGATGTGGAAACTGAGCCAGAGAGCAATAAAATGGCTTGCCCAGCTCACACAGCAGCTCAGCCTGAGCCTCTCAAACCCTCCTAGGCCCTTTCAACTCCACCACACTCTTCTTCAAAGTCGTCAGTAGTCTGTCACTTTATAGCCAGAATTTTCCAGAACACAGAGGGCTAATTGACTCAAGCTGTAAGAAGTAAGAAACTACTTTCTTAAATTGAGTTTTATACTTCTATTTCTGGAAACGTTTTGACCCTCCACACCCTGCCGTTGCCAAGATGAGAGGGATTCTGGTTTCAACTTTATCTATAGTTGTGCATAAATAAAGAGAGCTTTCAACAGCCAGCATCTCAGGGACTATCAGAAGAAAGCTAAGGGCTCGCTTTCTCTGCCAGGATCATTGTATATTATTAAACTGTAGAACACCCATTTTGAGCAACAGTTTCGTAAAAAAAAAAAATCAGTATCCAAATTCTATCACTCCTTCAAATTGCTAGTTATGGATAAAAAGTTACCAGATACATTTGAATTTTTTAATCACGCAAGCTGGGATTTATGATGCCCATTATTTGGGAGATAATGTGATACCCATTAGAGTTGATTAAGTCTGAACCCAGGATTTAGTGCCTATAGATTGCTGATCCTGTCTCGAGTTCACACAACAATCGATACCGAGACTGAATAATGCTAACATTTAGACCTATCTTGGACTGTGAAGGTTTCTGTTTGTGATTTTAAAACAATGCCTTGGCATGAGAGCAAAACACCACTCTCAGGCTCCCCTGGGCTAAAGAATTTTCAGCAGATGGTGCTTCTGGTCTGACTTCCCGCTCTCAGCGTTCAGGCCTCTAGGTTACAAGTGAAGCAGTGCTCGTTTGATCGGTGGCAAGTAGGTGGCTCTTGCAGTCCTCTTTATCACTGTCCTCTTCAGTGCCGCGAAGAGCAAAAGCAGTGGAGTACACAGTAGCCCTTGCGTCTCTAAGCAAGGGGGAACCTGCAAAAACGAAACAAAGCCAAGGGGGAAGCCGAAGACCCCAGCCTTCATCTGCCGAGAACTATGTCTCGCCCTGCACGCAGAAAACCGGAATACCAAAAAATAGTAAGATCTTTTTATAAACATGTTCTCGAAGATACTTTATTCTACTTTAGAGGCAATGTTTTAAGTGATTTCTGATTTATTTTGAAAGGTGATGCTCTAAGTAGAGGGTTTCAGTGGAGCAAGGGAGTGTTTAGTGGACAGAATCGTAAGTGACACCTGAATCATAAGTGACACCTCTGGGAATAGTTACAATGATCTCACAGATACTGTAACAGAATAATTGATTCTATTCCATATTCCAGGTTCTTCTTTTCTGACTAGTTATGTCAACAAAAGTGTCAAATTTTTTCGTCTCTGACAGAAAATGTGAGATTAAGCAATTCTTTGTATTTTCTACTTTAACTTCTTGTATTTCATATTTCATGAGATAGGAAATGAAATACATAGAAAATAGTTGATTATATATTACATTAAATGGTACTAGATCATCAGAAAACTTGGTATTAAAACATTGCCTTTAAAAGTACATTCCCTAGTCTTAAATGTAAGGGGTTATTATTGTAATTTGGTATGTGCTATTATCATTCCTATATTTTCCCAGGTCAGAGTTATTTTAAAAACTCAATTATTTGCAGATTAGATTTGTATATTTTTCTTCAATTCTCTCATAGTTTTAGGCATTCAGAAGTTATATATGTGTAAGCTCATCATTAAGTTTAAAGCTCTGTTAATTATTTCAGGAGACTAATGGGCTTTGCATAAAATTAAGTAATTTCAGCCATGGGTACTTAAAATTGTTTGACTAACCCAGGCACACCCCAGTTCGAAATTTCTACAGATGTCCCCTCTGACATTCCAGGATCTTGATTTATTTTTATGTGGGGCTCTCAAATGCCAAAAAATATATTATACATAGTTCATATTATACCTAAATCATTTGATAAAAAATGCATATTTATCCTGGTATATCCAAACCCTCCTGAAATAGTTAATGGTGTTCTATTTTTCATATATGAAAAATGATGATTTTAAAAACTGATAAATTTACATTGACCTTTCTTATTGACAAGTTGTATGGAGTTGAGTACAAATCCTTGAACTACTGGACAAGTAGTTTAAGGTTCATCCTTTGGCCATGAAGCATAATGGAGGAAACTGGGCTTTATGGGTAGTGCACTTAAAACTCAGCTGGAAGTAAAATACAGTTAGTTGCCCATCCATCATAATAAGAGAGAGAGAGACACAGAGAGAGAGGGAAGAAAAAGAAAATGCTATTATTTCAGCTTGGCCTTAATTATAAATGGGCATAATCCTGAGGCTATGGGATGCAGGTAGGGTATAATTTTATCTCCTTTTCAAATTCTATTGTTTTTTTGCTAGTGACAACCACCATGTTTTCACCCCCCCCCCTTCTCTTCGCCTTTGCTTATTTCTATGATGTAATATTGGCACATAGCAGTAATTTATTTTCTGCTGTGGTTCCTTATATATTAAGCAGCTGTTTCATGTATCGGCATTTCTTGTGACTTATGATTAGGTTCTTAAAAAATTTAAATAATAACAAAATTAAAATTGAGTACATTATGACCGTTCCATGCTATGTTTAACAATATTTTGTTCAGATCTCTTGCTTTACATTCTTTCTTGCCTGGTAGAAATATTAATGTATTTATTACTTTTTTATACCCGAATTGTATATATTAGTGTCCTTAATGTAATGTCAATTAATGTATATAATGTATATTCTACATACATTTACGACATTTTTATTTATATTTTTTAATATAAATTATGTCTATATGTGCTATATAATATTTAGATTCTATCCATTTAAAACTTATTTAGTGATAATAAATATTCTACTGGATTAAAAAAATTGTCATGATATAAACTTATATGTGAGGGAGTAGGCATTGGTGGTATTGGGCCAATTTTGGAAATATTTGAATCAAAATTATATAACATTTTATAGAAGCCCCTTTGTTGAATAAATAATTTTATTGGTTTGTTGAGCTATTTCTGCCCATGATTAAAAAAGGAAATTAAACACATATTATCAGACCATCTATCCAAGACACCGGGGCCTAGAGGTAGGTAAGGACATCTCTTCTAACCTGGAACCCACATTTGACCTTCCATGAAAAGACAAATTATGTACAAAATAAGGTTATTTTCAACAGAAGTTGATCCTTCCTACCTCCCTCTCCCACCCACCTCTACCCCACCCACCTCTACTTCTGTTGTGCACCTCAGTGATAATTGCTGTGTGTGGAGGGGGGACCTGCAGTCTCAGGCTCCATCCTGGCTCTGCCAGCTGCTGGCTAGTTGGACAAGTCACTCATTCCTCCTGAGGCCCCATTCTCTCCTCTGCAGGACTGGGAGCATTGGAATAAAGTATCTCTAATATCCCTTTTTCTTCCTTAGATAGTATTCATGGTAGATGCAAAACAGAGATGTTTTAAAGTGGAATTACTGCTCTTTGTGTTGTTTCCCATATTTTTCAACCTATCTGTTAAATCAAACCTAAATTATCCTCAGTTTTAGTTTTAATTTTTAATTCACTCTAAAAATAAGACATATTTTGGAGATCTTTAAGGAAAGTGCAAGCTCTCCTGTTTTTTGTTTGTTTGTTTTTATCTTTTCCTCCTAAGTATAAAGAAAAAAACCCATAAATTTGCTGCTACGGTAAGATGCTTCCCGATGGGCTTCCTGGCAGATCTGGAGCCCTTTGGGGTTCTGCAGACTCATGAGAAGTCCCACCCAGGTATCCCTTCCAACTGAAACCATGGGCAGCATACGCCAAAGGCCACTCTAGGACAACAGGAATTTATACTAGCAATTAGTAGTTCTTCAGAAACTTTTTCCATGAGAATATGTGAAAAGTCATATGATACAAGCAAATGCATAGAAACGTGTTCTCATGTTAAGAAATTAATTTTATTTCACAGCTCTTCCCGCACCCCAACAATGTAGCCAAATATGGGTACAAGGGAGGGTGGAAAAGCGAACAATGATCGGGAAGGCTGCATCCAACTAAAAGACAGAGTAGTGTATTGTTTGTAACTGCCTGCAATGTGGGCCCATCCGTTTTTCTCCAGAACAAAGATCTCTTTGTCCTCACCTATGGAGCTCTGGTTGCCCAACTGTGCAAGGATTATGAAAAAGATGAAGATGTGAACAAGTATTTAGATAAAATGTAAGTATAGTCTTTCGCGCTTGTGGAATGTGCTTTGCTCCTCACCATCCTCTGCATTTTGCCCCCTCTAATGACTTCTCCTGCTCCATCGCCGGCTCTTCTCCTATTTCAGTAACATCTTAAGGCTAGACAAAATTGCTGCCGGCTGCCATTTGGGTTGTCATAAAGTATAAAGTAATTGTTAGGGACTTTTCCCCCATGAATATCAAGCATGGGATGTTCTCTTCTAAGTTGGAAATCATTTCTTTGCTAGTTGTTTCTAAGCAAGGGGTGTGGCAAAGCCGAAAATTTTCTTTTAACATGATGGGTCATCAAATTTGATTGTTTTCAGAAGCCTTTTGTTCTAACATAGCTCCTTCCACTATAAATATATGCTTACACAAGCGTAGGCCATCTATGGAAGGATATGCAAAAGGCTGCTGATGGGCCCTGGCCGGGTTGCTCATTGGTTGGAGCGGCCTCTGGGACACCAGAAGGGTGCGGGCTTGATCCCTGGTTGGGGCACACGTTTCTCTCTCTCTTCCCCACCTTTTCTCTCATATCCTCGGGGGAGGATTTTTTTTTTTTTTTTAAAGGCTGCTAATGGTAGCTGCCTGAGAGAACTGGGAGATGGTGGATTATGGATTAAAGGCAGATTTACTTTTTCTTACTTACTGTTTGGATGCTTTTACCATTACTGTGCTATAGTTAAAAATATACTAGAGAAACTCACTTCTTCCTTTTAAAATAAAGGTCATTCTACTTGTCTTCATTAATGGGGATTCCTTCTGCACAATCAGCCTTTAAATTTCTCAGAATAGTTACATTAGATTATTGCTCAATTATAAAATATCTGTCAACATTTTTTTAGCCTCTTAATTATTAATCCTGAAAAGGGCTCTAACAAGGCAATGACTGAAAAACCTGTGCTAGTTAGAAGATTTAATTAGACAGGTTGAATAGGAAATTTAACCTAGTTGAGTTCAGCATTTTAGAACTTTTAAAAAGAGCTCACTGTATTTTCAGTTGGAATATAGGAAAAAAACATAAAAGAATTATTAAAGATTTTTTTCTCTCGAACCCTTGGTTTTCTCCCTTTCTATATGGGTTTTTGTTGTTTTTTTCCTACTGGAAAGTTTTTCTTTCATTGTCCTGTGTATATTTTGATCCACATATCCTTTTTTCCCCATTTCTTCTTAATTAGTCAGGAGCTTCCTCAGCTAAACTGTCAGTAAAAGTGGGAGCTGTTTAAGCTATTTTATACTTAGGTCAGACTTAAGCATGTGTAGCAGTTTCAGAAGTTACACCATTTTATTTAGCTTGTGTTAAACTTGCATTGTTGTGTGAAACATCTGTAGAAAATGCACAAATTCACTTATCTGACAAAAAATATATAACTCTGGTTAGCTACTACTTGAGTGCACATTTTAACAACTATGAATGAAATGTTAGTTATAGAATAAATTTTGAGAGGCTGCTGAAAGGACTTGCCTTAAGAAAAACAATAATTCACATTTGGATATCTTTAATAGCTTCTGCTGAGAGCATCTTACATTTTTAATTTGATATATAAGTAAACAAAATATCTACTTTGCAGAAGCATACCCTTTGACCAAAGCAATATATATATATGTATGTATATATATTTATGCGGTACTAACCATAGCTTTCTGGTAGTTGTCTATGTACCTGTTGCTGTGAAATTAAAAGACCAGTTTTGTGTCAGTGGTTTGGCAAAGGCAGTCTTGTTCTTTTTATTTCCACCATTAAGGCCATGTTTCCTCAGCTAGATTGAAAGTCCTTAGGCCGATCTTGCTGAGGGCGTCCGCTAGCCATCCTAACCACATACTCAGATCACATCTCAATAAAATGCTTTCACAATCGTACCTCAAGTACTACTCAAGCTGTTTGTGGTGAGGTAAAGCTAATACAAATACTCTCTCCCAAGTCCCATAGATTCAGTTACCCTGAAATGAAAAATGAATTTTCTGAACTTGGCTTTTTTCTTTTTACCAAAATTCAGAGTTCTAACTGTTGACATCTACACTGGCAACAAAAATTGATTTCTCCACTCCTCTCATTCCCCTCTGTCCAGAGCCCATCCCAGACATGCCTGTCCTCCTCCTGTGATAACTCTGCTAAGACAAGAATGACATCCAGGGACCACACCTGGAGCAGACAGCGAGTTAGCTACTCCCTCATTCTGTTTCCATCAGCTCGCTTCTTTACCTTTAGCGTGCACCGTCAAGGTTGGGCCAGCCTCGCTCCTCACATTCCTTCGCTTGCAGACTAATCAATATTGCCTGGACATTTGCCCTCTTTCCTTCCTTCTTTCTTTCTCTTTATTCTCCCCTTCTTTCCCCCCTTCCCTC